GACGTGGGGGAGGCGGTTTCCTCCCCCTCGCCCCCCTTACCTCCCTCCCGAGGGACCTGGCTCCCGCCTCGCCCGGCCCTCCCTTCTTCGTCCAGACATACCGAGGGCGACTCCATTTTCTTGTGCTGGACTTTCAAACGTTTGTGCCCAAGCTGGTAACCGTCCAACATCTCAATCGCCAGCTCGGCCGCCGCCTCCGAGTCGAAGGAGACGAAGCCAAAGCCCCGGCTCCGGCCCGTGCCTTTCTCCACCATAATCCGGACGGAAATGATGGTCCCGTAGGCACTGAACAGATTGAAACAGTCCGCGTTGCTGAAATTGCTGGGAAGGTGGAAGACGAACAAATTGCAGCCGTCGGGCCCCGAGGTAACCACGTCTCCATCCCGAACCGTCTGGATCGGCGCCCCGGGGGACCAGGGAGGGTAACCCTCAGGCCCAGCACAGGCCAAGGCCGCCTCCGAAAAGGCGGTGGGCACCTCGTAGATGATGCAGGTCGAGCCCTCCCGGTCCACATACTCCAAGAGGGGGACACCGCCCGAGCTCGTGACCGTCAACGCGGCAGGGGTGGCCTGGTTGACGTCGGGAAAGCTGGTGGTCACACTGGAGGAGGTGACGTGCGGGGCCGGATAAGGATGCGCAGGATAGGAATGCATGCCGGAGGAGGAAACGGTGGAGGAGGCGAGGGAGGTGTTGATGGCAGGGGGGGGCAGATAAGCGCCCCGGGCGCCGGGCGGGATCGAGGAGGAGAAGGACGGTGGGCCCTGATACCGGGAATGGGAAGCGTAGGCCCCCGTGCCGGAGCCAGCTTGGGAAACAGCGGCCTTGGGCCTCCCCCCCCCCTCGGGACCAGGGTTCACAGCGCCCGACGGGTCGAAGCCATGCTGCTGTTGGGGGGAATGAGGCGGCGGCAGGTTCGCGTGGTGCGGCGGCGGGTGATTGTCGGGGTAAGGAGGGCCATGGTAGGCATGGGGCACTCGGTAATGTCCCAGGTGCTCCGAGACAGGCATGGCCATCTCCCCGGGGCCCCCTCCCAGGCCGTAGGAAGGATGGTGGGGGTAGTAAGGGTGCGTGGAGCCCGGCACAGTGTAAGAAGGGGGCTGGGGATGCTGACGAGGGGAGCTATTGCGGCCCGTCATCCCTTCCGCGTACGGCCCCTCGGTACCTGGGCGCGAGAAGTGGGAGGGATGGGGGTGGTGGTGGGAGGGCGGGTAGTGCCCGACCGTTTCCTCCCCCGCCCCCGGGCCGTAGGAAGGAGACGAGGCCTGCGGTCGTCCGTCCGACGTATCCCTTTGGTACGGAGAGGAATGTCCAGCGTGCGATACAGGGATGGAAGCGATCGAGCCTTGGCGGCTCCGACGTCCGCCGCCAGGGTTGGGGGTGGGACGGTCGTAGTACGGCGGACAGGCCATCGAAGGGAACAAGTGACGTGCTGGTGTGTATGCGATGTCCCCACAAAAATTGGATTTCCCACAAGCAGCCTGCACCGTACGTGGTGTGAGGCTTCTTCACACGTAAACCTAAGTTGGGGTTACCAAGACGTGTGGGCGCCCTGGGAGGCGATGCAGCCCGTGTCCGGGTACCACACTAGAAGAACCTTGCTCTCGGGCCCTGTACCAACGAACTAGTCTTTGTACATGGAGGAAGCCCCGCCTATTGTCGCGTTCATCGAAATTGTGGACACTAGAGGCAATAAATGCTAGACGAACAGGCTCCAACAAGTCCTCAAGACTTTGGGGGACTGATACCAAATATTATGGCACCTCCTCCACGGTGATATATAAGCACACCCAGACCTGTGTGCACATGTCATGATAAACCCAAAGATCAGTGCCCACCAAATTTGCGTGCAATAGGCGTGGAGCTTTCTGTCCTCGTGTGAGGTTGGCCTCGGTCGTCTTATCGTGATGGGACATGGCCACGCAAATCGTGTTCAAGTCAAGGGGGGTGTGAGTCCTGCAGGCCTGCCGAGCTCATCAACAAAGCAGATCTAACCGAAGGACCTTGCCGGACGACACCAAAAATAAAAGCAAGGCACATATTTCACGCACAGCGCAAGCAAGATGCATGTGGAGCAAGTTTATGCGCGTGCCCAAGCAATGTGTACCTTCCAATGCCAGTCGCCTCGAGCCTGGGGGGTGCTGCGAAGAACACACCGGACTATCGAGAAGTAAGTACGTACCATGTCCAAAAGTCTCGAAAAACACCAGACACGCACACGCCCCTGCCATCAATCACACAGATCGGCAACTCGTTCCCTGAACAAGGTTTTCACAGCTTTGCTATCCTGGCGTCTTGACGGCAAAAGGCCGTAGTTTTGGAATTTTTGGTATTCGCATGGCATTGAATAATACTGGCGATTCCTTCTCTCTGCGTGGGCCGATGCGGATGATAACGCTGCAACAGCAACTTGACAAAATGCCTATGACAACAAGGGGAACCCAGCTCTGACACCGTATAACATGCTTCAGTTCGTGAAGCATTGGACGCCTTCAACATGCCGTAAAGTAGACCGCAACATCTAAGTGATTTTAGCACGAGACGGAACATGTTGATCGTGCACTGGCAGCAGGGCCTTGACCGTGCCTTGGTCCTCCCGCCCACTGGCATTTTGTTCCTCAGGATCCGACTCAAATGGTGCCAATTTTCATTCAAACCCCTTCAAAATTTTTCTTGAGGCACAATGAGAGAGTAAATTGATGAAAAGAAAGAGTCCGATATTTCCTGTAATTACTCCGGTAGGCTCGTAAGAGTCCTGTCGCAGCCATGCACCCCCCAAAAACCTGCTTTCGATTTTTCTTGTTTTTCTCAAAAGTCAAGGAAAAATTCGGTAACCTTGCATAAATCGGACATAAAACATGCCATGTTAAAAGTTGTTGAGCATTTTTTTTTCATAATTTTCATCAAAACGTTTTCAAAACGGAGCATGAGTCGCGGCTCCTATTTTTCGCCTTCATCATAACCTGTCTAGGAAGTGGACTGGGCTATGTTTACCAACTCAGTGATGAATATTGAAGGATTGGTTATCTGTGAAATGTATGGTTGTGGGGAATTACTGTGACTTTTCGGAATCCGAGCCTATCATATTGCAAGCATTTTCGACTGGGGTACTTTCATCTCATGTGACAAAATTGCAAACAGCTCCTCAGACAGAATTGATACAGTGGAGCTGATTTGAAAAGGAGTATTTCCCTCCGCAATCTTACGAAAAACTTGTCTTACGTCCTTTTAATTTTATCATGCGTCGTACCCTCAGCTTAATGAGGTTTAACGCTCCTTGTCTTCGTATGGTATTACTCCTCTCCTTAGCATATATATTTCTCCCGCGATGTTGTCGCGCGCCTGCTCCTCCAACTCATTCTTGTAGAATTGAGAGGCGTATATCTCTCTTCTCAAACTTTGTCTTCCCCCTTTGATGTATTTTCCTCCCCCTTCTATGAAAGACGAGAGGATTTGTGCACGCTTCTCAAGGTAAAGAGAACGAGGGACATGCTTGTATTCGGCTCGAATTGCTCCTGCATACCTGGAAAAGATGGATAGAGATAGGGCTCAACAGGTGAGACAAAGGAGGAAAATAACAACCACCCCTTCTTCGCAAGAGAGTATTCTTACACCGATGCGGGATTCTTATACTTATGTCCTTACCGCATGTAAATCTCGCGCGGTTGACCAAGGATGCTCATGTCGATGTCAAGAAAGAGGGCGAGATCGTCATCGACCTCAGGAGACTGCGACATCTGGTGTGTCTTGGTCGCCAGTATGTAAGCATGCACCACGCCTATGTCCTCTTTAGACTGTAGTGATTCAAAAAAAAAAACTGTGATGGGCTCCAAGCTATAAAGTATCTCTCCCGAGCGTCATATTTTACATGCGTACCATCCGTGTTGCCTCTTGCGCGAACGCATTGAATCGCTCCGCACTCTTTTCCTCATTAATACTGCTCCGCGGATCGTATATTAAACTTGGAGATACCGGTGATGATTTTTTTTTGAAATAAACAAGATCACATATGCTTCATTAACGACATTTTACGTACTCATGAAAGAACACTGCGAGTGCGACCCGATCTGGGCGGGTAAGCCTGCCCACATGACGATCCATCTCTCCGAACATTTGTTGCAAATGTGTCAAGCCATGGTATCTCGTAAAATGTAGTAAATGAAAGGGGACGGTCTTGATAAGAAACCCAGCAATGGAGAATTCTGTTCTTTAACATCCTTTCCCTCTTTGACTGCGGGAAGCATCCACCTTACCTTCTTTCTAGCTTGGTGTACTCTCTTATTATTTCTTGCCACCAGCGGTTGCGTGCTTTTTCCAACGTCGATGAGGGCTCCGCCTCTGGTATGGATTCATCTCCACTTAATGCACGTCTCCAGCGAACATACAATGCGACCTCCAAAGAAGACGCAAACTTGATATCAAGGGATGTATCTGTTTGTACTTCCCCCTCATTCATCGAAGACATGCTTAGAGTCCAGATGCGAGCACAGTCGTGAGTAAAGAAATTGTTCCACAGTAATGGCACAGAGATGTTGATATCCGGGAGACGTTTCGAGAGTTTGAAAAGCAGAACCGTTATGGATCGCAACCGTTGCCTTGCAAGGTAAAACCACGAGGAAGGTGTGTAATTTCAGTGCAACTCCGTCGCTTTCAGTGTGACACGACTAGCCTTCAAGAAAATGACTGTTGGAAAAATATGCCTGATTCTTTTTTTTCCAGATTTCTTCTTTACAGTGTCGTTTATCTTTCACGACGAACAGCGCACGCTCTACCATAGCTATTTTGACTGTGATAGCGATGCCAACATCAGAGGAGACAGAGGCAATCATGTGCCATGCTCAATCGCTAGGAATGGATCCAGATAAGGACTCGGCTTTTTTGTGGCTTGCAGAAGAATCATTGGAAGCACCAGTGCCCGCGGGCTGGGAGATTATATTGGGGGAAGAAGACGGTGCGGTCCCCTTTTATTTCAACGAAACACTGAACAAATCAATTTGGGAGCACCCTCTTGACGCAGAATATAGGACGAAATTTCAAAAAATGAAAGCGATGATTGGAGCGCGAGCCAGTCACTTGAAGGCTCACACGATGACAGAAAAAGAAGAGAAAGAGGATGAGGACGAGGATGAAATTATTTCTTTGGAAGAAGTGCTCGATGATACCGATTCTCAGCCCGAAATCAAAAATGAGAGGACGCTAGAAAATCAAAAGAAGCGGCAACAAGACAATTTGCACAAGCACGAGGAGCACGGCCGGGCGGTACAAGGAGAACAATCGCTTGTTCCTTTACCTTCATCCCGTCCTGATTCCTCTTCCGCCCCTCCCTCCTCATCTGCGGCACCTTTGGTCTCTGATATTACTACATCTTCGAAAAGTGATTCAGAAACTATAAGCAAGCTGCAAGAGCAAGTCGTGTCTCTCACAGAAGAACGCGCCTCACTCCAACACTCCATAGGACGCCTTCAAAGTCGTTTGGAAGTGGAGCGCATGAATTGGGAGGAGGAAACGAATCGCCGGGTGTTGTTGAAGGAGAAAGAGGTACACACTCGCATTCAAAAAGCTGTCGACGCATGTGCTGGGGAGTGGCATGGGAAGCTTGAGGCACTACAGGCGGAGATTTCTGAATTGAAGAAAGGGAAAGTTGACGGAGGCCCCAGGCCGGCGATTGCTAAGCTTGCTGAAAAGAACAACCTGCAAGGACAACAACTGCAGCAACAGCAACAGCAACAGCAACAGGAGCATAGACAAGAGCAGCAGCAGCAGCATGAAAAGCAGGAGCAAGAACAGCCAGAGCAACAGCATCAACACCATCATCAGGAAAGTTGTCGACAGCGGCAAGAACTGGATTGCCAGCACCGCCAGCCACAAAAATCTAACAAAAATCAAGAACTCCGATATCCTGACAAACCAACTGACCTCTCAGAACACATTGATATGGTGGCTGGGGATCACGATACGTGTTTCATTGCGAACACAGAGGGAGGAATCAATGAAAGGATCACTCATCCTTTTAAAAGGGAGGCAGAACTAATCGCTACCGTGCGTGCTCAGGAGGACACTATCCAGCGCTTGTGCGAAGAAGTTCAGCGACTTTTCCCGTCGCGATGTGTTGAGTTGACAAATTCCCATGGTAGGCAACCATTTTCAAGCGAGAAAACTGCTTATGAGTGCGGCTCGCAGCCCCGCAGGTTTGGTGTCGAAGCCAGCGGCAACATCGCAAGTTCTTCGAACCTGGCTCGGTTAAGCCCCACCACCGCGTCGAGCACGTGCGACATTGGGCTTTCTTCATCGATCGCACAGGTCCATTCCAACGAATCGCACCCGTTCCGTTCCCCATCTACTTTTGTCAATGCACCCAGAAGCAGAATAGCCGAACTAGAGCTTGCTCTGGATGTGGAGCGTCTCAAAGTTGAGAAAGCTACTTCGCATGAGCGTTCTGTCCAAATGCATAGGCACGAAAGGGAGCTCCAGAGGCTTCACGATGAAATCTCCCTGCGGTTGCCTATCTTGGTTGCAGCGGCGGTGAAACGGTTGCGTGCCACAGACGACGCGTCAATGGAAGAGAGATGGCTGACGGACGCAGTAAGAATAGAAGAAGCGGGAGAAGAAGCAGAGGGAGAGAGAAGAAAAATCAACAATGATGCGACCGAGGAAACCGGCAAGGTACCCTCTGATGCGCCTATATGTTGGTCAAAGTGTTCACGTCATTTGCAGGAAAGGAGAAGAGCGCGATCAAAAACTTGGAGAGGACCAGTGGGAGGAGTGGGAGCGATTGAATCACGGGGATGCTCAGGCGAGAA